ATTAGTATAAAATAATAAAAGACATGTTATAGTTAAAGAATATGACATTAATAAAAACTACAAATTTGACCCTTGTATTGATTTTTGGCCAATATCTTCATTTGTGGTTAGCGAGAAGTAACTCATTTTGTCAGCACACCGCACTTATGATACTACTGGTCTCCACGCACCTTCTTCAAGCACACAGCTTATCCAGGGCGTTGAGGGTGGTCAGTTCATCCATCTAAACATAAGTCGTGACTGGCATTAAAAAACTCCTTTTTTACTATAAGCAATACACGTATTACTTTTGCCTTTTAAGAAACAATTCACTGGCAAAGGTTCTTACATAGATGGCCGAGAAGCTGTTTACTTGTTCAAAGCCCATTTTTGCAAGAAAGAGAGAGAGAGAGAGAGAGAGAGAGAGAGAGAGAGAGAGAGAGAGAGAGAGAGAGAGAGAGAGAGTGGAGAGGAAAAAGATGGGGTGGTGTGTGTGTGTGCATGTGTATTTGTGTGTGTGTGTGTGTGTATTTGTCTGTCTGTGAGTGTGATAGAGAGATGTTGTCCAAGTAACACATAACAACATTGTCATGTTTGTCGTCTCCTCAGACTACCTGCTGGCACTGGGAATGTTATAGCGTTGTCGTGAGGCAGCCCTGGCTCTGGTCTCTGGCACCGCCAGCTTGGACAGAGAGAGTGCTGCAGGGGCAGACATCACCGAGGCTGCCAGAAGGTGCTCAGCCTTGATCTGGATGTGGGAATACATTTATTACAGGCAGAGAAAACATGGGTTTCTAGAAGTCGCTTGAAGCGGAGTCTCAATTGGATGGGCGTTAATGGGAATCTGAGAATAAGCAACAATGACAACAACAACAAAACAACAACAACAACAACAACAACAACAACAACAACAACAACAACAACAACAACACACATACACACACGCACATACGAACACAAACACATGTGAATCTATTTGAATCTTGCCACACGAGACCCGGGAAATTGCGTGACAAGGGAAATTGCGTTACAAGCATGCTGGTACTGATACCGTCATGAGTTGTTAAGTAAAGATGTCACAAGACTGGATCTATGCAAGTGACATTATTAGGATAAAGAGACAGAAAACAATTGTCCTTTCATCTATCCGGCATCTAACGGATGGATGACAGACATGCCCCGTTGAATAGAGATATCACAAGACTTAAAAGAAGAACAGCTAAGCTTGAAACACGTATTAAAAGCAAACTTGAAGCCACTTGGTTTCAAAACGCAAATAAAACCGCAAGTGTAAACGTACCCCTTGTGAAATGTATAGACCGAGGATGCTTCCAGTGACGGTGGACATCCCATTGGCCATGAGACAGTGCAGTTCTGATGACGTCAGTTGTTCCAGGAATGGGCGAATCAGCATCAAAGAATCAATCTGAGGAGATTATAAGTAGGCCTATGTATTCTGCGGCATTATTATGTTCACTTTCAATAATAAACAAAAAGGGGAAGTCCATTAAAATGTATCCCAAATGGGTTTTAAACACGAAGTGCCAGAAAGTTCATTTGTTACGCAAGCAAGTGCAACTTGTGAAAGTACCTGTCGAGAGGACAGGAGATTTGGGTTTTTTTTAATGTGTGTGTCTGG